GTGACATCTTAAAAAAAAGCCGACTGAAGACGTCACATAACAAATGTGTATCTTATCCAGATCATAGGAAAAGAAGGATTCAGGATGTCTGAAAATCCTCTAATTTTATCAAGGAAACACGTTCTACAACACAATCTCAGGCAATACAATATTTCTCTACTCTGGACAGTTAAATTATGAATATTTAACCTTAATCGAGTGGAGATATATTGTATCACACTTCATTAGATGGTTAAATCTGTATTGACAATAAATAAACAATGAATTTGCAGGGATTAGGAATTTAATCCTTCAATGTTATTTCATTTTGCGGAACGAGGATACTAAAATAGTTTTTACACAAATCTGCACCATAAGAGGTATAGCTGAAACGAAAAAAACATCCTTAATTGTCTAATAAAATAAAATAACATTTACATATATTACAATCATTTGTCATTCAAAAGATTTATTGATAGTAAGTTGCTTATCTTCCAGTGTCAAAATGACATGTTATGAATGAACACTTTGTAAGGATAAGTGTAAGACTTTTACTAATAATGGTTGACTGCCGGTGTATAGTTTTACTGTATAAATACACCTTTTGTTAAATGGCAAAAACATATGCCATTGGCGTACACGCTTAACAGGTATTTAATAATTCATATGTGTTACTGTATCCGCGCAATTTTTTTTATGAACCCATGAATTGATTGCAATATTAGGTATAGTGAATCACAATAGGAAGCCTATTTTTATAATCTATTTGGGTATGTCAATTCAGGACCAAAATTATGCATAGTACTATGCATACTTATTATCTTTGGAATTATATATGTGTACTTAACGTTCGTACTCTGCATTATTATGGTCGGTAGATGTATTGATTGATTGATGTAATGATTTATAGATAGACAAATTGCATAGCGTAAAAAAAGACGCATATTTCATGTTGAGTAGTTCATTGATTAAGTGTTATTTTACATTCAGTGACGAATATTCTGTGTTCCCCCGCTCCTGCTACAAAAAGAGACAGTAAGGGTACAACTTCCTTGCTTAAATACACGAGGACGTTTCTCCAGATAAAAAAGAAACACAAGACGATATAATTTCGAGATTCACGTAAAACAAAAGTAAAGATCCAATTCTGATTTTGAATATCACTAAAACAACATGCAAACACAATAAATACAATAAATATAAATTTCGAGAATATAGAAAAAATAAATGCATAAAGAAGGATTCAAATGTATTTGCAATTGTCGAATAACTTCTATTTTCGTATAAATACTTATAATTATAGAAAAAATCAAGCAACACTCACGAGTTGTTAAATCATCATGGACACCCAAGGAAGATATGCAGTTAGGCACAATAGTAAAGGTAAAGAACTCAGGAAGAGTAGTCCATGTGCAATGGGACAAGCTTGAAGAAAAAATTAACCTGCTAGATCTACGCTTAGTTGCGGCAACAGGTATTCACCAATTACATTTGCTAACATTTAACCGTGAACTATGTATATACAGGTGTCACCACTGTAACAGGAATTGCTGATCATTCCGAGGCACCCGAATTAACCATCGTTTTCGTGTGCGGTTCTTCATGTTCTTGATGCTCAATCTTTGATTTTTTTGTGTTGTAATTTTCTATTTAAATTTGTTATTAGAATTTTCTTTATTTATTTTGCCATCAAGTTGTCAATTTTATCATTTTTATTGCTCCCTTGGTATTTTATCACCAATTTCATCAACAGTAAACATAAGACATATTTTCTATAATTCATTTGAAAGACTGTGTCTCAAAATAGTGAATAAAAAATTAAGATAAACCAACAATGACTGTCTGCCTGTATAAAACCGTTTTGTACTCCCATATATATAACATCTGTATTTTTAAATTGTCGTGTTTTACTGTATTCGCGAATCGTTGAGAAGAAAAATTTACTCCGTGTTACGAAATGGTGAATCAAGGTTATCAATGTGTTAATGCGATATAAATATTGATGGTTAATCAAGGTTGCCAATTTTTTTTTAGAGGTTTCGTTATTTTCAGTTAAAGATCATAACGGTGAACACTACACTGGTAATTTATTAGTTCTACTAAACGAATACTGCAATTGAATGAAGAAGCAAAACCTGTATTGTAGTAAGTCATATATTTTCAATTCGTTATGAAATTAACTTGCATCGAGGACTTGTTTGGTGAGAGCTTTTTGTTACCGTATATCGAAATTCATACTATTTGAGTATTATATCAGATTGATACAATACCACCAATGACTATTTTTAACAATTCAAATTATATTTAATTTCTAAAAACATGGCAAATGGTTCCATAATTCTTTTACATGACAAATGATATGAATGATAAAATCACGAACGAAATAATCGCAAAAAATAGAAAAAAAGTTTGTTAGGCCATTATACAAAAATGTATTAGCTTTAATAAAACACAAAAAATATCAACAGAAATAATATTTAATGATAAGATATTTCCAAAATAACAAGCCCAGTTAACGTGTCTATTTCAAGTAATAACCTTTTGCGTTCAGTATGCCGGAAAAGATTGTCATTTCACTTGACAAAAGTAAATTGTAAGCCAATTAACGACATCCATGGTTCAAAGTTTAATATTGAGTGAAACAATCATTTGCTTGGAAGACGGTCTTAAATGTATTGCGTCGTATACCTTGTGTAAAATTTTATCTCTGCTCGGGTAGTTTTCGCAATTCCCGGTGCTATTCTGCTTCCATCTAAAGTACGTTTTATAGAGGAGTTCAGATTGCCTGTACACGACGACATTTTTTGCCCTATACATGCTCTGTTTGATTCACATCCGGGATCCTGGCTGGCAATAGAAGAGAAGTCATGGCTTCACCTTGAAGTAGGTGGCTACAGTCTTTTAACACTACGGCCTAGCGTTGACATCCATAAACACGTGTCTCGCAGCAATTGGATGGTAGTCAAAATGATGGACAACCAACGGCTGAAAAACATCTCTGACGAATGGTCACCAGGTACAATTGCAATCAGGAGATATGCACCCCAGTATTTTTCTGTTTCTACACTCTCAATCGTCTATCAGTAGCGTGCAACAAAAAAAAGCTCTAGTCCGACCAATGGAAGTAGCGCAAGTTCCTTAATTTCAAACCATGTGGTGGTCAACACCATTCCAAATGCAATCGTTGATGTCAACCAGATAACGTGGGATGTCTGATTTCTCTTTGGTTTGAGTTGGATGATTTCAGTGGGTTCTTAATTATGCCAGTTGAAAGCCGACTATAAGGTAACCACTTGGCTTTCAAATACTCGGTTTGGGCGTTCCTGATGAAGGTAAATCCATGTCATTTGTAACGTATTATTTTCATTTTGTTTCGATTAGGGCTGTTTTAAAAGGGCATTTTTCTTACTCAGCGATTTAGTGTTCGGTCTTCAAGCTGATATGATACGGGTGGTCTACAGGATCTTGATATTTTCAACAAAGACATTTTTCGCTATTTTTGAGGTGAGATTGGAAACAGAACAAGATCAAACTTCCACGAATATTTTCAGGGAGTTGGTTTGTATGTGTTTTCTCAAAAGACGACTTATTGCTGTATCATCCATGGCCAATATCTTTACAGGACATCTAGTATAACCAAGTGCTGATAATAAGCTCTCTGAGAGTCTCTGATCTTCGCATTTCATACCATGTTAAAAAAGAATTAATAAATGTAAAAAAGAAATTGAATTAAAATACCCAAATTTGAAGAGCAAACATACTGAATTATGGATATTGAATGGGGACATGGTTAACGTACATGATACCTCAATATCGTGATAACAGGTCACACTTGTATTATCACATCTTTTAACGGAACAATTGTTTGTTTAAATCAATATTTGCATTTCAATTGAAATTCGTTGTAACATGCTCTAATTCAATTTATCATATACTTGTAGAAAATAATGATATAATTGTATCCCTTGATAAAACTAATTTATGCATATATCTATTCATTAAATTTGAAGAATTGTCTTAGTCGTGTGATATGACTTTCGTTATCAACTGCTTCCGGTATATATCAACTGCTTCCGGTTTATATCAACTGCTTCCGGTTACTATTGCATGCCTCTCTTAATGTAATCGCAAAGCATTTCGGCGTCATTCTTTATATTTCGGAAATAAATCTCAGTGGTTCATTTTAGTGAAAAACATAACTAAGTAGAATAAAATAACAAATATTAGGAAACAGGAAAATAAATTATTAAAAAATGCAAAACAAATAATACAATGAATGAATGGTCAAAATCATTCCTCGAGCCTGTCGGCTCTGTTGTGCCACGATTATTTACAGTATTCTTTTAATAATAACCTTCATTCATTGCTTTTCATTTGTATTTCCCGGTGTATATTTTCCGCGAAACTAGGTCATACATATTTTCACTTTTGTACACTTGCTTGTTATGCGGAATGATTTTCTATAGTTACAACATAATTACCTTATTCAGAAGTTATTAGTGCATCCTATTTTATCCATAGTTATCCTTTTATAATGTTAGAATTATCCAAAATCATACTTGTCAAGTTAAAGGCCATTTTGGTTTACTTTCACAAATGTGTACACGCGTACTATTTTTAGGTGTATTCATTAACTTGATCTTTCAAACGTTTGGAGAAAAGTATAGTAAGTTTCAAATTATAGCCGCTGGCGAACAGCTGAGTTTCAGACAGTGACCCAGAATTATTTATTCAGGTATTTTGGCACACACTGCAATTCTATTTAATTGATTTATTAATAACTATTGTTAATGATATTAGCTTTTAATAAAGCTGCTTTTATTTATTTAAACAAATCTTATTTCTTGATTATCCAAAGTTTGGACTTCAAAACAGTTTTATTACTTTGACTTTAATTGATATTTGTATAATATCTGCCAAACCATTTACAATAACGGTTGGCGCTTCAATTGGTGGCAGCGGTAAAAACAACATTTAAAAAAAAAAAAAAAAAAGGAGGGAAAAAAGTAATACATAAAAAAAAAAAAAAAAAAAACAACAACATACAAATCAGCTTATATTGAAACTCAAAGTGTGGTTTACATATAATATTATTGAACACCAAGAGTTATTGAAATTCAAGGTGTATTTTTCCATATAAAATATTGAACACCAAGAATTATTGAAATTCAAGGTGTATTTTTCCATATAAATTATTGAACACCAAGAGTTATTGAAATTCAAGTTGTATTTTTCCATATAAAATATTGAACACTAAGAGTTATTGAAATTCAAGGTGTATTTTTCCATATAAAATATTGAACACCAAGAGTTATTGAAATTCAAGGTGTATTTTTCCTTATAAATTATTGAACACCAAGAGTTATTGAAATTCAAGGTGTATTTTTCCTTATAAATTATTGAACACCAAGAGTTATTGAAATTAAAGGTGTATTTTTTCCTTATAAATTATTGAGCACCAAGAGTTATTGAAATTCAAGGTGTATTTTTCCATATAAATTATTGAACACCAAGAGTTATTGAAATTCAAGGTGTATTTTTCCTTATAAATTATTGAGCACCAAGAATTATTGAAATTCAAGGTGTATTTTTCCATATGAATTATTGAACACCAAGAGTTATTGAAATTCAAGGTGTATTTTTTCCTTATAAATTATTGAGCATCAAGAGGTTTTGAAATTCAAGGTGTATTTTTTCCTTATAAACTATTGAGCACCAAGAGTTATTGAAATTCAAGGTGTATTTTTCCATATAAAATATTGAACACCAAGAGTTATTGAAATTCAAGGTGTATTTTTCCTTATAAATTATTGAACACCAAGAGTTATTGAAATTCAAGGTGTATTTTTCCTTATAAATTATTGAACACCAAGAGTTATTGAAATTCAAGGTGTATTTTTTCCTTATAAATTATTGAGCACCAAGAGTTATTGAAATTCAAGGTGTATTTTTCCATATAAATTATTGAACACCAAGAGTTATTGAAATTCAAGGTGTATTTTTTCCTTATAAATTATTGAGCACCAAGAGTTATTGAAATTCAAGGTGTATTTTTCCATATAAATTATTGAACACTAAGAGTTATTGAAATTCAAGTTGTATTTTTCCATATAAAATATTGAACACTAAGAGTTATTGAAATTCAAGGTGTATTTTTCCATATAAAATATTGAACACCAAGAGTTATTGAAATTCAAGGTGTATTTTTCCTTATAAATTATTGAACACCAAGAGTTATTGAAATTCAAGGTGTATTTTTCCTTATAAATTATTGAACACCAAGAGTTATTGAAATTAAAGGTGTATTTTTTCCTTATAAATTATTGAGCACCAAGAGTTATTGAAATTCAAGGTGTATTTTTCCATATAAATTATTGAACACCAAGAGTTATTGAAATTCAAGGTGTATTTTTCCTTATAAATTATTGAGCACCAAGAATTATTGAAATTCAAGGTGTATTTTTCCATATGAATTATTGAACACCAAGAGTTATTGAAATTCAAGGTGTATTTTTTCCTTATAAATTATTGAGCATCAAGAGGTTTTGAAATTCAAGGTGTATTTTTTCCTTATAAACTATTGAGCACCAAGAGTTATTGAAATTCAAGGTGTATTTTTCCATATAAAATATTGAACACCAAGAGTTATTGAAATTCAAGGTGTATTTTTCCTTATAAATTATTGAACACCAAGAGTTATTGAAATTCAAGGTGTATTTTTCCTTATAAATTATTGAACACCAAGAGTTATTGAAATTCAAGGTGTATTTTTTCCTTATAAATTATTGAGCACCAAGAGTTATTGAAATTCAAGGTGTATTTTTCCATATAAATTATTGAACACCAAGAGTTATTGAAATTCAAGGTGTATTTTTTCCTTATAAATTATTGAGCACCAAGAGTTATTGAAATTCAAGGTGTATTTTTCCATATAAATTATTGAACACTAAGAGTTATTGAAAATCAAGGTGTATAATTCCATATAAAATAATTGAACACTAAGAGTTACTGAAACACAAAGTGTATTTCTCTAAAAATATTTTAATAACATTAAAGGTAACTGAAATTAAGTATTAATTCAGTCTGGTATATTAAATATGAATTTAAGACACAGACAATTACCACTTCCTATGTTTTTAAATAATAGAGGGGGAGTGTCCCCAAGAACTCCCTTATATAGTTTTAATTCCAATTTTTCGGACTTAACAACAAGAGAAAATGAGACACAATTTGTTTCAAATAGTGGGTTATCAAATATGCCAAGTTTACATGGTTCTTCAAGTCAACTTACCTTGCCTGCTTTAACCAGTAATAATTCATTAAATGAACCGGGGGTGATAAGAGACAGTGCACAGAGCATTAATGTTCCTGTACAGAGTGCACTGAGCACAAACGTACAACATCAGAGTGCACCAAGCACATATATTCAAACTCAAGGTGCACCTAGCACATGTATTTCATCACAAAGTGCATTGAGCACTGGTCATTATACCCAAAGTGCATTGAGCACTGGTCATTATACCCAAAGTGCACTGAGTACTGGTCCTTATACGCAAAGTGCACTGAGCACTGGTCCTTATACCCAAAGTGCACTGAGCACTGGTCCATATACACAAAGTGCACTGAGCACTGGTCCATATAACCAAAGTGCACAGAGCATTGGTTCATATACCCAAATTGCAACAAGCACATTTGTTCAAAACAGTAGCGCTTCAAACAGTTATGCAAAAGTACAAGGTGTACCAAGCACATGGTCCTTTTCCACGGAAGGAATAAGCACATCTTATGCATCTAATCCATTTCATGATCAGACAAAGACGGCTAATATACCACAAATTACATCATTCAGTGACACCAGTTTCAACAGACCAATCAGCCATAATAACGGTGATGACCAACAAGAAGTATTTAAATTGAGAGAGAAAATAAGGGAAATTGAAAATGAAAGAGATTATTACAGACAGCAGAATAACCAACCAGATAATATAAGACAGCAAAATTTTCAATCAGAGAATACAGGACAGCAACATTTTCAACCAAATTATACTAGACAGCAAAACAACCAAATGAGATACCGAACAGACTCCACATCTAGCATGCAAGATAGTTATCACTCAAGACTACCATTCTACAATGGAAGAAGTGACTGGAGTACATTTCAGATGCAATTTGAAATAATTGCTGAAAGAAATAATTGGGACCCAAGACGTCAAGCTGAGGAAATATTACTGGTGCTTAAAGATGAAGCTGCAAAATTTGCATCAGAGCTACCGTATGAAACAAGGAGCTCGTTTCGACTTTTATCCAAAGATATGGAAAGAAGATTTGGAGATAACAACCTGCCTGAAACCTACAGAAAAGAGTTGCAATTTACCAGAAAAAATTACAAGGAGTCAGTAAATGAATATGCTGCTCGCATTCAGACAATGGTCAGGAAGGCATATCCAGGCATGGATAATCAACTATTTAACAATATTTCAATTGAACATATGTTAAATGGATTAAATGATCAAAGTATTGCCTATGATGTATTGACAAAAAGACCTAAAACTATGGAGGAAACAATCAATCTTGTAGCATGGCATACTACATGCAAAAATGGATTGAGAAGCAAAACTCAAATAAGGCAAATTGAAATTGAAGAAGAAGAAAGGTCTTTTGATGCTGATCAGTCTGATGACATAGAAGTAAGACGAGTTGGAGGTAAACGATTTGTTACAGAGGAGCGTCTGAATCAGTTTGGTAGAGAGATGAAAGAAAGTATCACGGCTGAAGTAACCAAGTCTATTGAGAACATAATGAACACAAGGTTACCAACATCAAATACATACCAGCCTAAGAAGAATTTTAACAGCCAAAATTCAAGATGGAATAACAAGGACAAAAACCAAAAGCAAAACAACACAAGATGCTATGCATGTAATGAAGAAGGACATTATGCAAGGTCATGTCCTAACCAGAAACAGACACAAGGACAGGTTTCAGACGGAAATCCGTTAAACTAAAACGGGCTGAGACTAATGGCCAAGTGTCAGCCCGCAATTGCAAAATTAAAACAGACTTAGTAGATATAAACCAGACAAATGAGGATCAAGTAGATAGAAACATTGAATGTGTGTTTCTTGGTAAGGGGATTGAAAATCAAATGGTGAACTCTGCCAGTAAGAAAGAAAGTACAGATTTTGTTGCTGAGCCTATACCGGAGGACCAAGGTCTCTCTTTAAATGGTGATAGTGGTCAGGATACAGGTGCTGAAAAGAACGTGATATTTAACAATAAAGAGGAAATTGTAATTGATCGCGTAACAGCAGCCAGTATTAAGATACCAATGGAAGTCAGTAATCAAAAAGTAAAAGCTGTAATTGATACTGGAGCAGAAGTTACTGTTTTAAATGAAGACATATTTTTCCGCCTTCCAAAAACAAGCAGATCAAAGTTGAAACCAACACTGAAAAAACTAGTTGTTGCCGAAGCAGGGAAGCAATTGGGAACAAAAGGTATAGCAGCAGTGACGTTAACACTTGGAGACTCAAAGTTTGTCTGTGATGTATATGTAGCAACAATTGGTGATGATTTGTTGCTAGGCTGTGATGTCCTTGATGAAATGGATATAACAGTAAACTCTAGAAAAGGAATTCAACTGAATGGAAAATGGATTGAGTGTGAAGTTAACCGCAAGTCAGACATGATAGCAAGAGTGGTTTTAACTGAAAATGTAACCGTTCCAGCCAATTCTGAGATGATATTATTTGGTGGGAGTGATAATACTGATGCTATAGATACCAGATAGACCATGCTACAACCAGTGGTTGAGGATAATCGGAAAATTATGGTTGCACAAATCCTTGTTGACCCTTTTGAAAAAATCATCCCCGTTAGACTGGTCAATATGGGGGACCACCCTGTACAGTTGAAAAGAAATTATTTAATAGGAGAGTTACATCCAGTTACAAATATTACACAGTTTGATGACATCCAAAACAGTACAAAACCTTTGGACGATAATACCAAGAATATCTGCAAGTTGCACAATTTGAAGATGAATATGAGCCTTACAGATGAACCAGTAGGTATTCCTGATGACTGGAATAGTACCATTCGGAACTGTAAAGCAGAAAATTCCTTGGAGATGGATGATAAATGCAGAAATGAGGCCGAAATTCCTGCATTACCAGATCATCTTAAGGATTTATTTGAAAGAAGTAGCAAAAACATAGCAAATGAAGAGACCAAACGAAAGCTTGCAGATATGCTCCTCAAGAACAGCAAGGCATTTGCTGGTTCTAAAACTGATGTTGGAACATGTTCCTTTATAAAGCATAGAATAGACACAGCTGGTGCAGCACCAGTAAGACAGCCACTTAGAAGGAAACCAATAGGATTTGAGAATGAAGAATTTGAGAACTTACAAGATCAACTTAAGACGGGAGTTATCAAACCATCAAAATCAGCATGGGCTTCACCTGTAGTACTTGTTCGGAAGAAAGACAACTCTGTGCGCTGGTGTGTGGATTTTCGCAGAGTCAACGATCTTACAATTAAAGATGCCTACCCAATTCCTCGCATAGATATGTGCCTTGATTGTCTAGCGTCAGCGTCCATATTTTCATGTCTCGATCTTCAAAGTGGTTATTGGCAGTTACTGGTAGAAGAATCAGACCAATCAAAGACTGCATTTATTACCAAGTATGGCCTGTATGAATATACAAAGATGCCTTTTGGACTCTGCAATGCCCCAAGCACTTTCCAGAGATGCATGGAGTTGATATTTAGAGGACTTCAATGGCAAACACTCCTGATATATCTCGATGATATTATAATTTTTAGCTTTGATGAAGAAGAACATCTTAAAAGACTAGATGAAGTTTTTTCAAGACTTATAAATGCAGGGCTCAAGCTTTAACCATCTAAATGTGATCTGTTAAGAGAAGAAATATTATACCTAGGCCATGTGGTAGGAAAAGAGGGAATAAAGCCAAATCCAAAGATAGTACAGTCCGTACATAGCTGGAAAGTTCCATCAACAGCAAAAGAGATTCAACAATTCCTTGGTCTATGTAATTATTACAGGCAGTATATATTCAAATTTAGTGACATTGCAGCTCCACTCAGTCATCTTACCAGAAAAGATGTACTTTTTAAATGGACACATCCCTGTCAAGAATCTTTTGAAAAATTGAAAAACGCACTGACAACATCACCAATATTGGCATACCCACAATCAGACGGAATGTTTATATTGGACACAGATGCATCTAATATAGGTATTGGCGCTGTGCTGTCTCAAATCCAAGAAAACAAAGAAAAGGTTATATCATATGCATCAAAGAAGCTAGACAGGGTACAACAGAGGTATACTACTTGCAGTTGTCACATTTATACAGCAATTTCGGCACTATTTGCTTGGAAGAAAATTTTTGCTGAGAACAGACCATGGATCATTAAGATGGATATTTGCATTTAAAGACCCTCAGGGACAGTTAGCACGATGGATTGAAAGTCTTAGTCAATACAATTTTGACATTCAACACCGTCCAGGTACAAAACATTTGAATGCTGATGCAATGTCTAGAAATTCTAATGAAAATGA